GCTGACCCGCTCTCCCGATCTCGGCGAGCGGGCAGAGCGGCGCGGAGGGGAAGCGGCTCGGCGCGGGTGAATCGCCAGCTGCAAGCGGCGGGGATCGTCGTGGCCTGTGTTTATGTATTTTGTAGTAATCACATTTCTGACATTACCCAAGCGTGCTCCTCGCCGAGGGTGATTGGCTCAGGCAGCTTTTAAACCACCTATATGCTAACAAGCCTTGCTGCCAGGTTCCTGAGGGGTCCTGGCTGGGAAAAATTAAACCCAAACCTTAGACCTGTGTCAGGCGGAGGGGAAAATTATATTTTTGAACTAGTCTGCGGCGCGGACAGGAAATGACCCCTCCAGAAACTGCTGCTTTAAAAGCGAGCGGCGGTGCCTGAAGCTATCCAGCCTCCCTCTCTCTCCGGAGCCTGTGCGCTCCCGCTCCCGCTCCCCCCGCCTCCCGCTGCCGAGGGCTCCCACAGCAGTTCCCAGCCAGTGCGTGCAGCCTGGATGTGTGTGTGTGTGCGCGCTGCTACTTTGTACTGTGAAGAACACACAGCCCATGTGCTCTGTATGGATGTTGATGATACTCTGTGTAGCTTGAATCTCTGCAAGCAGGCAAGATGTCCAGCACACCACATGACCCTTTCTATTCTTCTCCTTTTGGCCCATTTTATAGGAGACACACACCATACATGGTGCAACCAGAGTACCGAATATATGAAATGAACAAGAGGCTGCAGTCGCGGACGGAGGTAAGTCCCTCAGCCTTGTTTTCCTGTGCATGGACCGTGGGAGGTTTCAGCCCGAATTCCAGCTGAAGCGTCCCACTAGACAGTACAGTATATGCAGGCACAAACCCTAATTAATTTAGTAGTTTAATTGGGTAATCCCTCATTATGTTTCCACGCAGAGCAACTCTTTGAGGAGATACCAGCTTAGGCTGAAATCTTGAAATTACAGTACAGCACTTCAGGATTGATTATAATGCTGGTCTCAGGAAATTTCTTTGCCTTAGTGTGTTGTTTGCTCAGGATCTGTCCCGCTGGCATTTGCAGCTATAATATTGCAAGGTATCGCTTGAGCTTTTGCACAAAACTAATTCAGAAATGTTGCAGGTTGAGGGGGAGAGACGAACCTTTCGCTGGTTTGGTTTGGTAAACTCGTTAAAATTAAAAATGAATGATAACAGAAAACAGGAGCAGAGTTTTAAAAACTTATTCCTAGGCTGCACTTAAGGAACACATGTTCAGGACGACCGACAAGAGAAATTCGTGTTTACATTGAGAATGCAGTTGCTTTTAGCGGGAGAGATGATCGGTTCACGACTTTATCATATAGCTGTCAAAAGTACCCAATTAATGTAAACTACATTCTGTTGGTTATGCTTTGTATAATCTGTTAGTGGTTTATACACCCTGGCTTCTACACCCAGATCAGCCACCACAAAGAATATGCTGAATGGGAAGGGGAAATACTTCTGTCACTTAAAGACAAAAAATAGTGGAGGCTGCATCTTGTTATTTACGTCGTTAAATAAAGCACACTTTTTAGTCTGTTGAAGTGAAAACTGCATGGACTGAATCAGGCTGCATTTCTGCCCATGTGTCTGTGTTTGTGCAGCAAACATTCTTGGTGCTGCAATTTTTCGTAGTAGTTTACTAGTGGTGCCCTGAAAACACTTTCAAAAAGTATTCATCTTTTATAGCGAATGGCTTTATACAGAGGCAAATATCTGCCAAATTCGTGCCGTGAAGCATGGTAAAGGATCTCGGATTGATCTGTTTGCTGTATTGTAATTCTTTAAGAGAACATGAGGTTATCATAAAATAAAACACACATGCCTGAATTGTCAGCTAAGCCACGGAGAATCTGTGACGTTTAATGTATATGATACAGCTAACGAGATGTGACCTGCTTTCTGATTGGGTAGCCGCTACGGGGTAACTGCTTTTCTAACACTGTTATCACTGCTAGTCTTAAAACATTGCTGTGGAGTAATTGGTAAATACACTTTGTGCTGGCTAAAAACTCCAAGCAGCTCATTGCTCCCAAAATCATGGCAACTGTTTGTCAGTTTTGCCCCAAGTTGTTGGTTGCGGAGCGTCACTGCCATTTAGATAGAATGAGGGGGCTTGGGGGGTTTATTTGCTAGTGTTTGCTGGTCAGTGTCTTGCAACTACGTTCCTTACGTTCCTGTACGTATTAGTGTAATAATTTCTAGAGTTTTTCACGTGAAAAGAAGAAATATGTATCATTAAGCGATTGCTTCAGGGTTTTATATACAAGCTGTTCTGAAAAGCTGTCAGTGCTAATTTAGTCTTTTTACATACTATTTTAGTGGTACTTCTAATAATTGACCACTTTCTGATTGCAGCTCCTTTACAAATGTTACACTAGAAAAGTTTTGGAGGGACTTGTGAAACAACTTCCCCCTCCTGCGTTGCTGAGGTGTGCTGAGTTAGACTTCAGCGCAATTAATTGCAGTTTTTGCTGTGCACGTTCACGTGGATTGTTGTGGGCAACAAGCGGTAGCCTACTCTGCCTGGCGAGTACTGCCATAGGTTTCAGCAGCATGTTACTTTGACAGACAGTGCTTACTTAATGAAGGCCTTATGCTCCAGCATTTCCTTTATTTGCTCAGAGTAGAACTACTTTTGCCTTGTGATTGTTCAGTGTTTACATTCTGGTTCTCTGTTTTTTAATTTCTGAGCTCCGTGCTGTAAGCATTGCTGTTTGTTGAAATGCATTTTCTGGCTAGCTTCAGCTCATCTCATTCATCCTCCAATTAAAACACCTTCCTTAATAAAAAAAAAACATTGAATTACTTTCCTGGGACACTTACAGTGACTAGGTGTGGACAGCCTGTAAAGAATCATGCTGGCTTCTGAGGCAGGTTGGGAGTGGAAGTTTCGCATTAATTTTACGCACTTCCAAGCATGTTTGGGATTGGTAGCTGAAGGCTTCTGGACCATGTATAACTAGCTCTGAATTTGTTGAATCCAGACCGACGGAGCCCTGCATGTCATGGAAGGAATGTGCTTGTGCTGTGGGTGATACAGGCTTACTGCATGAACGTTTCTCTTCAGGCAGTCTCTGGAATAATGTAGGCACTGGTCTCTGAAGGAGGCTGCTTGTACTCTGTGAGCCCCAGGGGGTAGGTGAGCACAAGCAAAGCAGCTTAAGGGGAAAGGAATTACAAAGAAACTCTCCAAAAGACTGGGGGTAGCAAGCTGGCAGATTCCACTTGGACCCAACTTCTGGAGAGAGCCAGTGGCAAGTGAGGATGCATTAAAAGATGGGAACCTACAGCTCTTATCCCAGATATATCCTTGGCAAGCCTTTGGGATTTTCCTGCTTTCCTACAAAATAAAAATGTTCTTAATAATCCTTTAGAGTCAGATTCTCTTCTGTCCCTTGCAGTGGTGGAAGTTCCAAGGCAGAGCAAAACGTACATAATTTGATAAAGTTGTACAGAGGATGGATGGAGAGCCTATGAAAGGAGTATCTGTACGTCATGTCTATCTGTGTTCTCCCCTCCATCTGTAGAGCCCACCTTTGTAGTGAATTCCTGTAGCTGCTCTCCAGAGCTTGCAGGTAGGTGAGAAATTATTCCAAAAAAGCAATGGCCTGGTAGAGACACCATTAGGGAATCCACCGGTAAATGGCATTTCGACTCCTGCTCTCCCAGCAGCAGGGTCTACGGTATACTGGGGGAGGTGGAAGTGTCCTCAAAGTGGCTCTGCGCTTGGGGACCCACCCTGAGAAATCCACTGCTTCCACGCCGGTTTGTGTTGGCATCGGGTGGAAGGGAATAATAGCTGGTGTGAAGGATGTGCTCAGTGTATTAAGCAGACAAAGTACAGTGATAAAGGTCATTTAGATGCAGTGTGGCTATCTTTGTTGTTCTTGTTTTCTTTAGGAAGAAATGGTAGTCATGAAAGTGAAGAATTAGCAACTCTAGCCTGTGCTAGATGTGCAAACTTTTGCTCTCCAAACTTCTTACAACTTTATGGGCTCCTCAGGCAGAACCTACAACTGCCTTTTTAAATTCAGGGTCAGTCTTAGGCGAAGAATTCCAATCACACCCAGGCAGGGGGTGGTTTTATGATGTAAGTACTGGCAAAAGTCCACCACCTAGCTAATTCTTATGTGATCTAAAGTGAATTAGGGAGTCTGAGTTACTAACTAGTGTACAGGAACACCTTACCTTCCTTAAAAGTTGTTCAAAGAAATCTAATCTGGTAATACTTTTTTCTAAATGGAAATTAATATGTGCTTTCTTAATAATACTTTGGGAGGGTCTAGTGCCATTTTGTAATGCATCAACAATCCTGATTTAAAGAAGTAAAATGAATATTTAAATGTTTAATAATCTCTGGCAGATATAAAGATAAATCTTATTTACTTCTATCGTAGTTGATTAACTTTCTGGTTAACCAAAACGCAGCTGTTTCCTTGCTCTGTGTGTGGTTTTAAGGATTTCATTACCATTCACTCAAACTCAGTTTATCTTCATATTTTTGTATCTGTGTTAGTTTAACACTTCAAGAAAGCAATCCTGTTGTGGCATAATCAGCAGTGTCTTAAGTTCTAGGTAGCAATATGCAACACAGATAAATTAGCTTAAATATTATTTTCTCTGTTTTTCGTAAAACTCAATGTTTAAAAAAAAGCCTCCTTTCCTCTTTGGTGTTGTAAATCCTTTTCTGTTCTAATTTTTAATCATTTGAAATTGCTCACACTTAAAAGAAAAGGTGATTATATCTCGTATATAATTATTTTTCAGTAACATTACAGTGCGCTGTGGATAGATCACTTAAAGTTGCTGACAGTTTAAAGTTTGAGGCGTTGCTTTATTGGCAATAATCAAAGAAACGTATGAAGCCTCTCACTTGTTTATTTAGTCCCCTGTCTTGTTAAAACTTTTGCGTATCACAATATATTAAATTCACCTGTATCTCTCTCTGTCACTACAAGAGGGTACGCTTTGCATCACCATTATATGCAAAACCCAGCTTTCCTTCTGGCTAAGAGAGCAGTGTTTTAAGGGTGACTAGAGAACTTGATTAGTAGCATATTTGTTTTAAAGACAATCAGCTTAATCAAATCATATTAAACTCCTATTAAACTTTATAGTGAATTTAACAAAAGTAGAGATTTCACGATGGAAGAAAATGTAAAGAAAATTAAAAGGAAAATAAAGGCGGATGTTATGATTATTTAAAAGCTACTAAATGGACTGGAAGCTTACACAGACTTTCATATTCAACCAAATATTTAAAGCAAATCAAAGCAAAACAAAATTTCTGCAGTTTAATGGAAGTCTCTTCTTTTACTTCCTCACATTGCTATCTGATGAAATAATCTTTTCTTCTTCTTCCTGATGCATTTTTAATAGATTAGTCATAAAAATCTATGTTGTGACATCACAGTTGTTCACATAGCAACTTAGTATCGCAAACAGATCTCTCATATTGTGTACATAAGTCTGAGTTTGTCCAATGAGTTTGTTTTGTTGAAGAGAAAACACATAAACTTCTGTCTCAAAGTATTTTTCAGGCAATATTCTTTCACCCGCAAATATACTAATACTTAGCAATTCTAGGAACACGAGTAAAGTATTTTAAGAGTACTTATAAACCATGCTTTGCTGAAACTAAAAAGTCAGTTTTAAAAGAAAACCCTTGAACTCCTTTAGGCAGACACTGACTTCAGAATGGATTCAAGGCTCTTTTTACTGATTGTCTTCTAT